AAGCATAAGCTTCTGACCCAGTAAAGGAGACAATTGCAGTCTAATCTGTTGCATGCATGCCATTTGCTTGTAAAAGTAAGTTTCATGCTATTGATCATCTTCAGGCGTAATACATCGGGACAGAGTCTTCTAAAAGAAGGGAACTGTTTGAACTTTGAAGGATCCTTTTCAATGGTTTGATAAATGGACTGGCACCGAATACTATTTTTGCTTTGATAAATGGACTGGCACCGAATATTATTTTTGCTTATTGTTAATGTCTGTCAAAGACACTCATATTCCTAACCACTGGACTTCGGAAACTCGTCTCCCCAAGTCACGTCTAAGATACTACTAGTGGGGAGGTATTTTTGTAGCGGCCTAGTACTTTTCAGTGTGCATGAGTGTTAATCCAATACAATTTATATATAAATCAGATACATTAATTATTCAATGAATCTAAAAATGTGAAATTTGCTGAGACGGTGGAAACATGTGGTTAAGCATGTGATTAATGAGTTAAAATCTTTTTTGACGAAATTATATTTATATTTCACATTTTACTAAAAATTACATGGATACATGCATATAATGGTTAGTTTAGTTAGTAAATTTTAGTTCATAGCCCGTGATATATTCAAAATACAGTAGTAAGTCATTAACTATAAAATAAAATTGTAGTGTTATATTTGTAAGTAACCTTGTCTAGGATGAAAATTTGGGATCACTCTAAGAAAAGGAGAGGACACGAGGTCGTCCAAAGGGAAATATTGTCTCACCCTTAAGTTTTTCTCGCATCTGGAGAGAAGAAACGTGAGATAAGACGTATTTCGGATAAAGAGAAAGTCATAGTTGTTAATGACCTATGTCTCTCTTAGGAATAAGGATTAAACTATCCATCTTTTGACTAGGTGGATGGCGACCTTTCTCAAGAAAATCCTAGGTATCAGAAACTCTTATAAATATACTATCCCTCAAGGAAATAAGGGAGATTCTCAAGTCATACACATTTATTACTACCATCATCTTCCCTGCTGTACCCTTAACTTTAATACCTAATTGTTGCTGGACATGGTGACCAAAAGAGCTCCCTCTCATACTCCTGAGGGAACCAGCAGAATAGGTGATGTTGAGGCTATGGAGGAGATGCGAGCCACCAAGGACGAATTACGACGTCACAGTCGAGCGTTGGAGGACGATATTTAGAACATCAGACAACGTCAATAGGAGGTCAATCTCCCAGAAGAAGTGAAATTGTTGGATCCCCAACCACTCTCCAACAAAATATGGGGGCCTTGTCTCCGAAGGTTTCAAATCACCATCTTTGACCAAGTTCGATGGACGCAGCGATCCATACGAACATGCCACCTCCATCAACATGCAGATGGTCATCATTGGAGCACCATACTCCCTTAAATGTAAGTTGTTATCAGGTATTTTCAGGGAGGCCTCCCTCAAATGGTACATGGGTCTTCCTCGTGCCTCTATTAACATCTATCAGAAATTGGTTAGAAAATTTGTACACCAGTTCGCCGTCTGTCGTCACAAGAAAATGTTCACCGCGAACTTGTTCAACATTCACCTGGGTCCGTCAGAATGGTTGAGGGTTTATCTTGCCCTGGACTTCTAACATGGTCTTGCTCTCCCAGGGAGAGGGTGGTACAATGACACGTCACACGCTTAATATCATAATAGGAGGATTCTTCGGGGGTGGTGAGACCAGCTTCACCCGCAAAAGATATGTCTGTCAAGTCCTAAGCGTGAAAGAAATCTCCTAGTTAGGGATATGAAAGCACCAGAAGTCGCGATTGTCTTCTTGGAGGAAGACGCGTTTGACATTTATCCTAACGACGATCATATGGTCATTACCGTTAAATGCGATGAGCGAGAGATCAAAAAAGTTCTAGTGGATCAGGGAAGCCCTGCTGACATATTGTATTAGGACGCATTCGAGAGATTGCGTCTAGACCCCGAAGACCTGAAGCCCTTCAAGAGATCGTTGGTTGGATTCTCAAGAGACATGTGCAGGTGAAAGACTACCTCACCCTCAGGGTCATGTTAGGAGAGCAAGACTGTGCCAAAGAAATAAAGGTTATATACTTAGTCATTGACGCCACTTCCTCGTATAATATGATTATTGGGTGATTAACCTTTATGCGACTGGGAGCAGCTTTATCTATCTTGTATCTGTGCATGAAATACCCGCTTCTCAATAGGCGAGTGGGAGTTGTCCGATGGGATCAGAAAATGCTACACAGATAGCCTTAAGTTAAATAGGGCGCATTTTCAGAGCGTAAAGATAAAAATGCCAACTGTGGAATCACGTTGCCCATAGAGATGGGCGAGAGCAAGGAGCCTTCCCATCTGACCGCACAAAACGAGGGAGCCCAAAATGAAGGGAAACACCCTCTTCTTCTATGGAGCCATCTACTATGTTTATGTTTATCCATTTATGTAATTGTTTTATCTTATGTTACTTGTTTATCTAGTTAACACTTTTTTTGACGAGTATTAGAACTCTTTCGGTTGTAAGAACAAAATATTAGTTGGGATGCATTCTTTTTCCTCTGTTCCTTCAGGGGAACGAAATGTTTTAATGAGGCCTTACATCCTTATTTATCTATGTTTATTCGTTATGCCATATCTAGGCAGAACATCCAGACCCATAAGATACAAACAATTATCTTTGTTGGATCACTCAAAGGAAGATCTTTGCCACCTATAGAGGAAATTATATTTGTTGGATTCCTAAAAGGAGATCCTTGTCGTCCACCGAGACAATTATATGTTGGACTTTCACTGAAGATTCCTTGTCGCCCTCGAGGTAACCACGCAACTGAACTTCGACAAGAAGATCCCCGCTAGGCTATGCTAAGTTAGCCCTGATAAAACTCTCGCCTGAGGGACTGGGTTTCTTCTCGGGCAAAATTGCTCCCAAAACTAACGCCTAAGGGGCGCGACCTATATTCAGTCCCGGAGACTTGGAGTCAAGCCTTGCTATAGGGTTTGGTGGAAATCCTTCTTGAAAGGTTGAACACCCCGCCTGAGGGACTCATCATCTTCCCACTCGAGTTGCATGATACAACATCTGAGAGACTTAGAATCTCCATAGCTGATCAAACTCTCGTTTGAGGTACTTAGTATCTCCTTGGCCAAGATTGCTCCCAAAAATCACGCCTAAGGGGCGTGAACTATATCGAGCCCTTGAGACATGGCGTCAAGTCTTGCTAGACTTAGCGTCTCTCTTAGTCGGGCCACACGATATAATGTTTGAGGAGCTTAGGTTCTTCAAAAATTGACTAAGAGTTTATCATCATAGGGACTTAGCACCTCATCGGCCAAGCTGCATGTTAGTAAGTCTGTAAAGACAAGGATTCCCAAAGGTCAACTAGAACCTCATAAGGGAAAACATCAGACCTCGAGATATTCCCATTAGACGCATGTAAAAAATATTGTCATATGCCGAAAAACTTATGCTTGAGGGAATGTGTATATTATATTTGCAAATAACCTTGCTTAGGGCGACAACTTGGGACCGCCCTAGGAAAGTTAGCGACACGAGGTCACCCAAAGGGAGGTATCGTCTCGCCTTTAAATTTTTCTCTCCTTTGGGGAGAAGAAGCGTGAGATAATACGTGTCTTAGATAAAGAGAAAATCATAGTCGTTACTAACACACATCTCCCATGAAAATATGGATTCAACTGTCCACCTTTTGACTAAGTAGATGACAACCTTTCCCAAGAAAACCCTAGGTATCGAGAACTCCTATAAATACACTATCTCTAAAGGGGATAAGGGAGATTCTCAATTCATACACATTTACTATTACTCAAAGAGCACTTCGCTCCTACCAACCTTAACACAATCGATCTAGCCACCGCCTACAATCTAACAGTGTCGACCACCAATAGGATCTCTCACCTGACGTGAGTTGGTCCCTTAAACAGCCTAAAAAATCACCATACAGAGTTACTTGCTGCTGTGAGCTAGTCCTAACCTCCAAAGTTGTGATATATGTAATAGAATTTTTAAATCTCTTTGTCTTTGTAGGAGAAACACACACCTATACTTTTTTTTAAACAATACAAAAATTAATTAAATATTTGTAACTTATTAACTATGCACTCTCTTTTCTAAAAAAAATAAATATTAAATGACATTTCAAATATATATATATATATATATATATATATATATATATATATATATATATATATATATATATATATATATATATATATATATATATATATATATATATATATATATATATATATATATATATATATATATATATATATATATATATATATATATATATATATATATATATATATATATATATATATATATATATATATATATTGTTTAATTAGTAAATAAGATGGTCTTTATTGTTTGGTTCAATTCTTGCCAACCACCAAAATTAATTTAAATATATATATTTTTTAAAGATTTAATTTTAAAAGTAATTTTAAGTTTTTAATAAATTTAGTCAATCTCTCGTAAATTAATTATGAAATATATGTATGGAAATCTTGTCATAACTTAAACATAAAAAATGTGAAATTTTGCGTGATAATTTATCTTACACACTTTAAAAACGGTGCTGCTAACCACACAACGATGGAGAACAATACTTATCAATAGTATGATGTTGGAAAATATGCATCTTAACAATAATCAGATATAAAAATATTATCTTAAAAATTAAAATTAAGTCATTTAAAAATACATAAATCATCAAATAAAAATCGAAAATAATTTTTAAAAAATACAATTTTTTATCTGACAAAAAAAATTAGCTATAAAATACATGAATTTATTTTAAAGAAACATCCACTAGTAGCCAAACTCGTGCGCAACTGGAACCTTCCTCCACCGTCATAACCACCGTCAAAGCCAAGCTCCGCCGTAACTCTCACCGCAAAACTCACCAGCAGCAGCCGCTGCTATGTTTCTTGTATCTTTTACTTGCAGTAATATTCCTCAAACACTGCAACTCTCAAAACCCTCAAAGATGAAAACTTTCTCCTCAATTCAACCACCCCATAGTTTCCATTCCGCACCATTTTTCTCTTCCACTCCCAAAAGGTATATTCTTTTTCTTTTCTTTTCAAACTTTTCCTCCCATTTTCATGTATCAATTTAATTTTTATTAGTTCATTACTTCAAACATGCATATCCAGAACTTGTAGGTTATCTGAATTTGTGGTTGCAAAATAGGATATAAGGGTATCTATTAATTGCCAAATCCCAAATAAGAGTTATATCAGTGTTTAATTTTGCTATTGGAAACTTTATTAGACTATTATAGAAACTTGGATGTTTTCCCTTATAGGAAGAATTTGTTAGACTAATTAATTAATTTAAATCCTTCCGATTTTGCATCAGGACTCAAGTTCCTTTCTCTGCAAGGGTCTTCTTTTGTCATGCAAAATCCGGTATGCAATTTTGTTTAAAGTTTTATGTACATGTTGCAATTGACATGAGGTTTATATGATAATATACTATTCTAATGAGCATAGACCTTTCGTGACGGTTTTTACTCAGGAACAAATGAGTCATTAAACATAAAATTGTTGCCTCAAACCCTATTAATAGCAGAGAAAGAAGAAGCCAAGGCTGTATTAACCTTGTTTTTGAAGAAACAAGGTTTGAGCAATGCAAATGCAACAAAAACCATTAACCGATCAGATCCTTTTATTGATCATCTTATCTCAAAGCTTCACTCGAAGCACAAAACTTGGTACCTTTCAGGTTGGGGTGTTACAAGTTAATCACTTATCTTTCCTAACTTTTCTTTTACATTGGCTCCTGCTAATCATGGTTCCGTTGACGTATTAATCAGGGAGAGAGCTTACGACTCTTGAAATCAGGGATGTACTTATCTCTTATCTTGAATCGCTTTTCGAAGAGCACGGACATATTCTAGTGGATGTAGTAGAAAACTATCCAAACCCACCTGTTAGGGATAAATCAGCCGAACCGATTCACCCTCCTAATCCTAGTCTAGTGGTTGAGTCCAAGAAACTTAAAGCCGTGTCAGAAGTGAGTGGGGTAGATCCTGCTGCGGGGAATCTTCGTCCTCATTTTGTTTATCTCATGCAACTTGGAATGGAAATTGACCAGATTAGGACTATTATACGGAAGTTCCCAGCTTTCGCAAACTATAGCTTGGATGGTAAAATTAAGCCGCTGGTCGAGTTTTTTCTTGAACTTGGAGTGCCACAAGAAAAAATTCTTATTATCATCTCGAAAAGGCCTCAATTATGTGGAATCAGTCTATCTGAAAATCTTAAGCCGACAATGGAATTCTTCGAATCTTTGGGTGTTGACAAGAAACAATGGGCGAAGGTGATTTACCGTTTCCCGGCCTTGCTAACTTATAGCAAGCAGAAGATTACTGAAAGTATAGCTTTTCTCCTTGAATTAGGCATCTCAGAAGAGAGCATTGGTAAGATCATAACTCGCTGCCCTAATATTATTAGTTATAGTGTAGAGGACAATCTCCGGCCGACAGCAATGTACTTCCGTTCCTTGGGGGTTGATGTTGGCCTTCTTCTATTCAAGTGTCCACAAAATTTTGGTCTCAGCATTGAGGCTAATATAAAGCCTGTAACCGAGTTTTTCTTGGAGAGGGGATACACTTCGGAAGAAATTGGCACTATGATTTCGAGATACGGACCATTGTACACTTTCAGCTTGACTGGGAATTTGATGCCAAAATGGGATTTCTTTTTGACTATGGGTTACCCTAAATCTGAGTTGGTTAAGTTCCCTCAATTTTTTGGATACAATTTGGAACGAAGGATTAAACCGAGATATGCGAGATATGCACGCGTGAAAAGTTATGGGGTGAAATTATTGCTGAATCAGGTTCTTTCACTATCAACCACCAAGTTTGAAGAGGTTCTTAAAAAGAAATTGAAGAAACTGCAAAATGAAGAAAATGAAGAAACTGTAAAATAAAGAAAATGAAGGTTGTTCAATCAGATAACTAAAATTGAGACTTTCAGGCAACGTTTCAGGTCAGAAGATGGTTTTGACTGCTTTGTTTTTTTGGATCAACGGCATTACAAATTACAACTTTTAATTCATATATGAAGTCAAAAGTTGTAGTACTGCTAGAACGTTCTAGCTTCAGGAAATGCAGTTCCTGCCGATGAAGTTACAACTGGAACATGGCATTACAAATTACAACTTTTAAGTTGTTTTGAAGTGACTTTGAAGTGAATTTGAACAACCTAGCACCTGCAACCAATTATTTTTTGCAGCGTTTTGACACAAATAACACTAGTCAGCTCTACTTGCAAGTTGTGATTGTATATGTGATTGTGTTGAGTCCATATAGTAATTGGAGTATTTATTGTGTACTTAGTAAAATAGGTCATTAGTTGTGTATGCAAGGAACAAATGATATTGCTTGCTTATGAAATGAAATAGTCCTTTTAGCTATAAAAGTTAAGAATCAAAATGATATCTTTGTCCAAAGACTATGAAATGACAATCTCAATTCAAGTTTTGGTTGTGCAAAGCTGTTTTCGGATTTAGAAAATTTATGCAATTGCTATGTCTTGCTGAATTTTGAGTTAAATTTTATAAGAAAAAACTAGATTGAAAAATACTTAATCTACAAAACAACAAAAGTTAAAGCAAAATGTGAATGCCAAAATTTTATTGCACACTTAGTGGTGCTCTCACACCTCGGTGAAAAATCAATAATGCCTCTAAATTTTGAAAATGCACTTTTAGACACACTTTAGGAAGTCTTCGAAACAGGTCAAAAACGAAGCTGAAAAAAATCTGAAAGTTAACTTCCAGACTAGATTAAGCTGTTATGATGAAAATGCTTTGGTAAGCCACATTTTGCACTCCCAAACTCCTCTAATTCAGCTTCATAGGCTAGATGTTGCAATATGCTTTTGTTGGCAACTTCAGAAAGTTGTGTCAAATCATTTAGCCGAGCAATGTGAAACATGAGTTGTAAAACGGCGTCTGAGTTATTTACCTCAATCAACTGGCCATTATCATGGCAGAAAATGCAAGTTCCAAAGGTCTAAGGGCTTAACTCAACAAAATTTGTCATAGTCTCCAGCAACAAATTTGTGCTTCCCATTAGATTACAAGCAACATGCCTTGTAACAGTTGCTGCATTCCTCATCACGGTGGAGAAAAACTCACAAGCCTGAGGTTTGAAGTTGTCATCGTCAGGAGTCAAAAGCTGAAGAACAGGACTAAAGTTTTTCAATGCTAGAAAAAGGAGCAAGAAAAGTTCTTGGCAGTTGGCACTGTTATATCTCATGACAGTGTATGAAGCGACAAAGACCAGTTTTGTCTGTTTGAAGCATGAGAGAATATATGATTACCAACCAAAGAAGAACCAAAAGTGACACACATGGATGACTTATGCTGAATTTGGTTAAGATTCTCTTCCAATGCTCAAAATGTTGCAATAATGGCCAAAACAGTCCCTGAAGAGTGACCATAAACAATAATTGGTTTTAGGGACATCATTGATTTTTCACCAAAGTGTGAGCGATGCAATAAACAATCCCCTAATTTTAAGTATTGCTCTATCAAAGATCAATTAGACAACCTTGGTTTTGCTCATTTTGCTCTTTCAGTCCACAAGAACATTCACACATTCACCGGGTGGGAAATGTGAGGTATCAAATACATGAAAGATGCAAACACAAAACATATCAGTTGTTCTTTTGAGGTACAATCAAACTTCAGAAGAATTGCTGGGCATATTCAAGACCTTGCAATGAGGTGGTATATGTCTGTGTACCAGCAAGGTGGAAAATAAGTTGAAAAAGTCTTCCTAGTCCACATAAAAAACATGGCTATGCTTGGCTATAATGCAAACTGAAATTAATTTACACTAGCAAATGGGAGATCACACTTCAAACTACATTTTATGTTAGCAGTGCCTACATCAAATACTACAATAAACTTTATCCCACTACACACAAGATTCTATGGGGGAGCAAAGTTGTGGAAGGAAGAAAACTTCCCAAATGTATTGTTTCAACTTCATTGAACCATTGTTTCTTAAGAGAAACATATGTTCAAAAGAAAGAGAAAAAAAAACAACAATGACAAGCAAAAATGCTCTAATCACTTGACGAATCATCGTCCTTCTCTTCGTGATCAGCGACGATTTTCTCTATAAACCTCTTGCGAACTCCATCGATGACAGCTTGTCTTGATTCCTCATCTCTGCTATGGCCATCATTAAGTACAGGATCTGATTGGCACAGGACCAATGCAACACCTGATGTAACAAAATAAGCAAAGAAGTCAGCGTGACATTTAATATATAGGTAGAGTCATTAAATAAATGAACCAGATTTAGAAGAGAAGTATAATGCAAACATCTTAAGAAAATGTTACATACGACTAGGCACTAATTTTATGTAGTTGCGAAAATGAATTATAATTTTAACAAATTGAAGCTCCGGCCTTCCTTCACAACACAAACTCGGAATTTTATTATGACATAATTAACATAAACCTTTTGGAGATGGATTGTCTGACTTCGACACGGTAAAGGCAGGGTAACATTCACTCGTTATGATTCGTTCGATTCATCGCACGCCTTCACAAAGCGTAATACTCCCCCCATTCAACCCTGAGGCTTGGACATCGGCACCGTCAGTATGGCCTCCAACGGTGGCAGAGGTGCATATGCCCCATATTTTCTCACGTTCCCTTCTTTTTTCTTGCGTTTTTCATCTTTCTTTTAACCTTCTAACTTCGGTATTTTTAAAGAAGACAATGGAGCTGCTCTTGTATAACAGTTGAAAATAGGTGTAGTTTCGAGAAAGAAAACTAAATAGAGGTGTGCCAACAAGAATGGAAACAGTTTAAAAATGTGGTTGGGCATAACTCAACCCTACAAAACCGACTTCCATCTTCTTTTTTTACTTCTTTTCTTCAATTCCTTCTTTACATTAATTCCATTTGTATACATTTATGGATCAGAATCTTCTAGAAAAATGAAAAAATATGATACAACACTTTTCGGTATGGAGCAACCAATTGTACAGCTACAGGAAAAACCGCATTGTCATAATTCCTTCATACTGGTGCCCTCACTGAAAGCAGATAATCCTATATATTCTACATATAACCAAAAACGAGGATTCAAGTTAGCAGGTCAGCTTTGCCTACATTTACAAGAAGCGCACAAATGACACCAGCACTCCGGCTTCCCCCGTTAATAACCTGAGGTTGGCCCCGTGACCTTTTCATCCAAAATCATGCAACTTTGGATGGCCATATCAGACCACAAAAAGTGTACCAGCTTTCTGATTTTCTCAGGAAAGAATATAGTATGAGATTAACCATCTGATTCCTTTCTTTTCCTGTTTGACTTCCGGCTTGCTTTGGTTTTATCTGTGTCAATGGTGATCACCAGTTTCTGTTCTGCTACGACAGGAGGATCAGAGCTGTCAGTTAAACTTGAATTGAGCCATTTCTCATACATAATGGCTGAATCAAGAGAGTATATTCGAAGAGCAAGGAAAGGCAAAGTAGAAGATTTGGCAGCAGCTGAGAATGATGAACAGTACCACCAGTCATTCCTTAAGAACTCCGTTCCTCCAGCACAATTATTGCCTGAATCATTTCATATGTAGTCTCTGCAGATTTAACAAATAAATGCCAAGCATGTCTTCTGTCCAACTGTGCCTTTGATGGTCTTAGAGCAACTTCTGGAAGCACAGCATCCATATCAAGTAGATTAACCTTTAGTTGCCTCAAGATGTGAGAAACTTTACCAACTAGTGGTCTCAAGGTCGACAAAGGAACCACACAGCAGCCATAGACTCCCATATCTGAAGCCGGATTACAAAAAGGTAACTTTCCATCCCTTTGTTCTCCTAATTTACTGGGTTTTCCTGTATCAATGCTTCCATTTGCAGATAAACTCTGAGTGGATTTTCGTGATTTATTGTCATGGCATATGCCAGCACCATCAGTGTTTTCCTGAGAAACCCGGCTCATAGTAGAACACTGTCATCGTCCTTATCACGCCACATACTTTACAAACTCCCTCATCCCAAGGGGTCTTTGGAATATCATTTGTTGATGCAATGAAAACATCAACTTCTTTTTTCATTTCTGCACTTAAGCATCCCACTTTGGCATACTCTGCAAACTTTTGGACATAGGTGACAACCTCCTCATCGTATAAAAGTTCAAAATTCTGGGATAATTTTTCCGCAAGCTCGACTAAATAAAGTTGATCTCCAAAAGCAACACGAACATTGCTCGACAGCTCACTAACATCCTCAAGAAAAGCTTCATGAGATCCACCATAAGCTCCAGAAGCCAATATTTCCACAGCTCACGAACATCCTCAAGAAACTTGAGAGTAAGCACAGATTTTCCTTTGTTTCTACCATGTTAATCTGATTTTACAAGTGGATTTTGAAGAACTCTTGGCATTTACCAACTTAAAGGCAGACTTTCTGCTCTTGGTGATTGTAATTTCTTGCATGGCCAATAAAAAATGTAGCATTAAGGAACTGACTGCCTTTCTGGCATACAACTGTTTGTGAACTGTAACCGGGAGGTAGCAGTGGCGTGGATGTTGTGGTCGGAGATGATTACAATGATTTTGTGCAACGTGAAAGTAGCAGTGTGGCAAACGGAGAAGATGGAGTTATTGCGTGTTGTGTTTTTTTGTTCAGTTTTAAATTTATTTGAAGGACACGTGACGTGACACTATTTAAAGCATGTGATTGATCTAACTTTCAGTAATAGTTGAAAGTTAGACAAATTTTCGCGGCTTAAAGTTATAGAATCTGTCCCCAAACCTTTTAAACTTGAAATAAAATTAACAATGGGAAACTATCAAAGAAAGAAAACATGAAAAGTGAAGTTAGCAGGCATCCTAAGAGAAATAAATACCTTCGGGAGTGCACCTTCGCCCAAAGCTACTCATCCCAACATAATTTCCTTTAACAGCTCCGCTGTTGTATACCAACAAAGTGGGAAGATTACTATCCGGGTAGTTGGGAATGCAATCAGTAGATATTATCTTCACAAATTTTGTTGCAGGATACATTGTAGCCAATTCTTCAATGCATTGCATCAACACCCCACATTCGGGAATCCTATCGAACAAAAGCACACCAGACTTCAGCACAAGAAACATAACATTAAAAAAAAAAAAAACAATCACCGTTAAACCATATACCCGTCTTTGTAAAGAATGACAACCACCCAAACATCAGACGGAGCTTGTGAAACCTCTCGAACGAAATCAGATCCCGAAATGGGAGTCACTGACCCAAACCTCAAAACTTTAGCTGCCTCTTGTATCTCAGCTAACCTCTTCTTCCTATCACAGCAAAATTACCCACAAAAAAAACGATCTTTATTCAATTTTTCATCATATCAGGGAAAAACAAAACCGACCCACATAAAAAAATTGGGAATTTGGAAACCCCAAAATCAGTTTTTTAAGAAAAACAACAGAAAAATACTCAGCACCTATACTCTTGGAGGAAACGATCATCATCGAGATCATCTTCGAGGTCTTCGAGTTCATCGTTGGTTTTGGAATCGATCCATGATTTATCTTTGGGAATGGAATCGGGATCAGAAGCGGGGGTGAAAGAAGGGGGTTTAAAAGCGGGTGGCTTTGGAGGAAGATTGCCGAGTTTGGTTTGAATATCGTCCCATTGTGTGGAAGCTCCATCAAGATCCTTGTATATGAAGTGATAATCTCCCATTTTCTTCTGAGATTGGTTGTTCTTCACAAAATTCAATTGTGATTAGGGATTTTGTGTGTTCTTCTACATAACTTTTTTTTGTTTTTGTCTTTTATTTCAATTTTTTAAGCATTAGACTCTAAATTATTTGCTGTAAATTTTTTGACATGATGTGGCATATTCATGTAACATTCTTTGATATCTCTATTATTTTATTATTTTTTTATTACATTTAAAAGAAATTAATTTACTATTAAAAAAGAAATATTTTCAAAAAAGCATATCAAATCATCTAGCTGTAAATCTTTTTTTTTACTCATTATTTTTATTAGGGGTGTTTAAATCCAAATCAATTTAAATAAAAATATCGAAAAATCGATCCAAAAAATAAAAAATTATAAAAAAATTGAAATTTATTAGATGTGTTTGAATGTCATTTTATAAAAATCAATCGGTTCAAATCGGATTTCGAATGAATTTTTCAAAACCAATTCAAATCAAATTGAACCGTATATATATATATATATACTTATTTTTTATTTATTAGTATGATATATTATTTGAATTTATTATTAGATGATAATAATTTTTTTAATAATATTTATTAGCTTAGTATAATCTATTTATTTTTATTATTTCAACCATAATTGATCACTCTTATTTTGTAATATTAATAAAAATATAATATATAATTTGAATATCTAAAAATCGATCCAAATTAAATCGCATAAAATTGGATCGGATCGGATTGAATTTTTTTAATATATTATCTAAAATCGAATCGAATCACAAGTAAATTTATCTTTAAATCAGATGAGTTTTTATTTTAAAACTGATTCAAACCGAATCGCGAACACTCCTAATATTTACTACAAACTAGTAAGAGACATGTGTTCCCGCACAGATAAATTTTATTTATACGATATAAAATATATTTTGAAGAGCGTAAGTTTGAAATGAGATATTTAATTATAAAATAAATAATTATCATAAAATATAATTATATTAAATAATCATATAAAATAAAAAGAGAAAAGAAAACCAATGAGATGGAGAAAGAAAAAAAATTGAAATTTGAAAAATAAAGATTTTAGTATTCAAATAAAAGTTATTATTGATTAAAAAAATTGACATTGTGTTGAAAGAGATCAGTAAGATTAAATATTTTGTTATCCTACTTATGTGTTAATTTTGTGTGTAATAATGAGTATGGTCAATTGAATAGTAATTATGAGAGAGTAAATTATTATAAAAACTCAGTATATTAAATAACCATATAAATAAGGACACGTGAGACGAAAAATTTTTTTTTTTAACAAATTCAAATATAAAATTTTAAATAAAATACAAAATATAAAATAATTTATTTAATTATAAATTTTAAAAATAATCATATAGATTTAAGTGTATTAAATAATTATATAAAAAGAAAAAGAAAAAAGAATCTTGAATTGGAGAAAAAATTAATATTTTATCTCTTAAATTAAAACAATAGTTAATTAAATTAGAATATATATTATATTAATAGTTACCTGTTAAAAAAATTAATAGTAAATGATATCATTAAAAATAGATATTAATATTTTCTTAAAATTTTCAAAATAACTTATAATTTTAATTGAAATTTTAATTTATTTATATGCACTAATATGAATTGACAAATTTAATTTTGTAATATAAAAGATCATATTAAATAAATAAAAAATTAAAATTTTTAAATAATTGTTACTAGTTATTACGTAAATAAATTTAAATTATGCATAAACATATTACAATAATAACACAAATACCAAAACTTTATCACCTTAAAAATCACTTTTGATTTTCAGTGTTTATAGAAGAAATCTGGAAATTAATTATATTTATTATTTGATATAAAATCAATAAAGTCGTCACGGAACGTCTTTTATCTTACAGGAAGGGAAAGACAAATATCGGGTAAATTAATGAAATCACGATCTTGTGACTGTAGAGATCGGATAAGGAAGTCGGTTACACGAGGGAAAGATATTAGTATCCCACACGCCCGTAGTACTCTACGGTATCCACTCTTGTTGTCTAATATAAAAGGTGTGGTCAAAATCTATGTCTGAAGCTTTAAAAACTAAAAAGAAAGATGCAAAGAGGGAATGCATGCAAAAGAGAAAACAGGGGAAAAGAAGGAAAGATTACAAAGTTCGCTCGGCTGATCCCCGTGACCAGATGCCTACGTATCCCTTTAAAGGAATCAGAGCGCCGTAGTTCAGCTCAATAGTTTCCATTTGTTTGTGTTTTTTACGGACAACTCTTAAATTTAATCATTCCACCGTTGCTCGGTCTTTGGAGACTTATGACCTGTAGTGGAAAGGAACTAACATGCTCTTAGAAGAAAAAAGTCGATTGAAAAAAAGAAAGTGGTTGATTAGTGTATTTTACCTTAGAAAAAGATTTAGGTGAAGTTAGAGTATTTTAAAGTTTGAAAGAAAAAGAAGTTTTAGTTTTAATGAGATGCAAAGGGGAAGAAAAGTCTAAAGGGAGACTAGCAAAATAGTCCTAAAGTTAACATGAAATGTTGATCCTATAGTTGAGGATAAGAGGGAAACATCTACGTAATGTTGTCATGCATGGATAAAGTTCATAAGTTCTAGTTAGTCCAAACTTAAAGAAGAGTGAACTAAAGATCCTATGGAGAGCATACAAAGGAAATGGCCAAAGAAGGCAAGAAACATTGTTCAATTTAACAAGTAAAGATCAAAAGAAGAGAGCATTATTGAAGAATTATGACATGTGTGACATGTATAGTAAGTTAACTCGAGACGAGACTCACGAGCAACCAAGTAAGAAGATGAAACTTCTCACACAAGAAAAGTCACCTAATTGATGAATAAAATCATCTAAAATGGATAATACTTATCTTGAATCAAATGAAACTGATAAAAGCTTAAGTAAAAGTGCAATGACATCTTGTATATCATGGGGTGATGATGATACCCTCACAAGACATCGATCATGAACTTAAAGACTCGAGTAATATCAACAAAATAACATATTCAAGTGTCATGACATATGGTAAAGTATATTCCCTTGATGCGTAAAAGTAGCGTGATTTAAATAAATCAAAAATCAATGTTCTTAGATGTTATGGGTCGTTGTCAACATCAAGATACATACATGGCACATGGCACAAAAGATCATGATACAGTCACTAGACAGTGATGCTCAAAACACAAATGAAATATAGCTTCTCATATATCACCATGTTGGTTAGTAATGAAATACTTAACCAAGGATCAAAGAAGTTGGAGAAATAATATGAAAAAGAGATGATAAAAACATCAAGATAAGAAAATGATAAAACATCACGATTAAAGATGGCAAAACATTAAGTACAAACACATAGGTAAAAACCTAAATCAATAAGAGAGGAGATGGTAAAACATCACACAATAGATGACAAAACATCAACACATAGAAGATAAGGCATTAAGCACACACATGTTAGGATGACAAAACATCACATCTTAAAGAAGGAAGAATGATAAAACATTAACACCCGACAATGATATTAAGGATCAATGTAGGATAAGAAATAATGACGAAACATCATATGACAAAACATACATCTAACAATGATATCGAGAATCAAAGTAGGATGAAAAAAAAGAGATGGTAAGATGTCACACCTAACGATTATATTAAGAACCAAAGTAGGATAAAGGATAAGAGATGTAGATTAGACAATCACTTACAGAACATGAGAAGTAAATACTTACTCAAGATATAAGGTACTTAGATAAGATACCTAAAGAAAATATGCTTAGATAAGCAAGTAAAGAAGAACATACACGTAGGTAGACACCTAAACAAGTAGTCAGGTAAAATAAGAGATAATATTTAAACAATCAAAGCATGCTTACAAAGGTAATACTTTCAATCATGTATCAATATGCAGGTTTTGTACCCCAAAATTTTCCCTCCCATATTTCTCAAAACATTTCAAGAAAGATCTCCAAGTTACTCAAGATAGTCCAAGGGTTGGCCAAACAAGCTCTCTCCTAAGGCAGCCTACCCCAAATTAGGGTTTCATGTTGCATCAATATCCTTGAGTCCAAGTGGTCCCAAATACTCACCAATGTCCTAATATGTTCTCAAGATCATCCATGTCAAGTTTCAAGCCTTGCAGAGGAATTTTACTCAGTCAATTGCTCAAAGGTCCAAAAATCGACTGTGCTAGGACAAAAGTCAACTGTGACCTACATACAGTCAAACTTCAATATTTTTGGTCAACATACTAATATTTAAGTATAGTTCATCATTTGATAAAGGGTTGATCATGATTCATCAAGGATTGCTCACAATTCATCAAGATTCAAAAGTTGCTAAATTAGGGTTTTGTAGGAAAAGTCAACCCAACTTTGACCAAGCATACCTTTCTCATACTTTATGATAAATGACCCATCCAAAGCTCATTTTTAAGAGGATTCAATTCCCTAAAATCCATCTTCATCTCCCAAGATCAAAATATGCACTCACAAGAAGTTATTAATTTGGACATTATAGGTCGTTTTGAAAAGTCAACAAAACACCTTTTTTTGTCAAAGCTTCATACTTGAGCATGGAATATCAAATTGAGATGAGACCAAAATGGTTGCTTATAGGACATCTCAAGCTTTCTAAAAAGTCCAAGAATACCTCCAAAGAGTCAAAATTGAGGAAGTTATGCATTGCTGAAGTTGACCTTTTTTGCAAAATTGTCAAAAGTCAACTATCCCCAAAACTTCAAATTTTGCCAAATGGCCCCATTCTTTTTCACTTGTTTTGAGTTGGCATCATAGCCCACGTGCTCTAGCCTTTGCCACTTGTCCATATCATATTTTTATTAATTATTTTGATTTTTATTTGATTTATTTTAATTTAAATCAAATTAATTTAAATAAAAATCCAAAACATTAATAACCAAGGATTTTGTGTTGTTTCAGGCTTCATTATACAGCTATCATTCTTCCAATTCGTGCCAAGCCTTAGAATTCACAAAAAGATTG